TTTATGTTTATTTAGAACGTTAGCCATTTTACCATACCAAGCCGATCCTCATGGGAATAAATTGTTCCAAAAAGATCATGTGCCGATCAACCCATGCTGTTCAATAGATTTGACCAGAATTACGATAATGCCAGCCGAACCGTTCCTTTAAAACATCAAATCTAACATCTCGATCAATATTGACAAACAATATCGAATCTCGATAAGGAGCACACTTATTGTTGAAAATCCTAAACATATTTTCCTGTCGATCTAATAAATCGGGGATCTTTCGGGGATGTCGGCTAATTTTTCGGAGGAATTTATTCCCGAAACTTTATTGTTTGGGATTGTAAAAAATAAACTTCATAGTCATGTATATGTCATGCCTAGAAATAATTAAGACGTAATCATAAAGAAATTACTAAACTTGCAGTACGCGAAAACGTAAGGAAGGTGGCGTTTATCTTACATGATTATGATCATAAATCGTTTGCCTTGATGTCGGTATTCTCCGTACTTTTCTAAACAAGAATTAGAAATCATAAATAGTTTCCGGATTATGTCCGGGAACCGACCGGATCATGCTCCATCGTGTCGCGATCTCATTTGAACATCTGGACACTTTCCAAACGCTCGCGGATAATTGCGGTTCGCAGCAATCTGATCAAGGAGAAAGCCGAATTTCTTCATGCGTACTATATAAACATTCGTCTCATATGATTGTTTGTCTCGTGACTTGATTTTATGGAGCCATCACATGATTAATATTTAAAACAGATTTAAACTTTTTAATTTTATTTTGTTTTACGTTAATTATATCATTTAACGCAATCCTAAGTCAGTAATTTTGTATTTATTTGTAAATTTATGAGAAAGATTTTCTTTTTAGTTAAATCATAGATTCTTTCTCTTTTAGTTAACATTTTTCAACGTGGCACAAATGTTACATAAGACAAACGATTACACTTTAATAGTACTATGATCAGTAAAATTTTGACCGAGGAACTATATACAATTGTCAAAAAAGATTTTGTGATTTCTATCGACTAAATAATTCGGTAACAATAATAATATTGTTAATGATAATTAAAAAAAAAAAAAACTAATAATCACATATCACATAAACGGATCTCTACCCCCCTAACATAAAATTTAGCTCCTCATTGATTTTTCCCTAATATGGTCAGTAATAAAGATGAATCGAAATGACGGGAACATTTGAAATAAATAATGAATCATTGATCAAACTTTAATCTCATTATTTCTTCAAATCGAGCATATGATGATTGTTTATAAATAAAAATGTAGCACCAGAATTATGGATATCCCTTAATTAAGTTTTGTAAAGAATCAAAAATGACAATATATTTTCATTATTCAATTTCCAAATAAACTTCATCCATGCAAGGTTACGGATTAAAAATAGAACATCATGGTAAATCATATGATTCAAACATCACTTTAATAGCAACCTCACATAAATTCTAAATTATAAATATTAACATAAATGCAAAGTTATCTCGAATGTCTTTGATAATAAAAAAAATAAATTAGGCATAATATTCTATTGAATGGAAAATATATTTAAAATATCCAGCAGCTTGAAGTAAAGTTTCATTAAAGCTGGTTCCGTTAAAAAAGATTGGATCGTTGGTGAGCTGTGATGATCCGATAAATAAATTGTATCAAAGTTATTCTTCAATTCGCGAAAAGTAGTCGATCTCTTTGGGAAGTCATTGAACGTAGAATCAAATTAATCACGTTCAACATTCCTTTTCATTAAACCTGTCCCTTTAATTTTGAAAAAGTAAAAAGTAATGGCGGGTGGAGAAGACAATTCTTGTTTTAGCCGTAAAGTCCTGCCGCCGAATTATTATAATAATGCGGATGACTGGATTTTCAGCAGGATAACGTCTCTTCATAGTCTTAATCCGATTTAAAACGTCTGAACTATTTTTTTAAAAAATAAGAAAATCAGAAAAAGAAATAGATTAGGAAAATGGTTGCGTGGAAAAAAAAATATCTCAATTGGCAATTTTTTTTAATGTAAATGGAATGATTTAACAGCGCTTAAATCGTTAATGCATGCCAAATCGCATTAAAGCATACAAATATTTAATCTTTTAAAACAACCTTATTCGGGTTTATAATAAATTTGCGTGTATAAATTTAAAAACGTTTTCCATCATATATGTTATTAATCAAGAAACTATTTATTTAAATAAACATATTTGGAGATGAAAAGGAAACAATTGGTAATTTTAAAGATTTTGAATAATGCTTTGCATTTTATTAACCTACCAAAGAGAACAAATATGCCACCATATTTAGTGGTGCATCGCGAAAGTTCAAATTTAGTCTTTTTGCGTAACACGAAATCTCGTGATCCACTTAATCAAGTTGAAATGCTACGTAAATAATAAACAACATCGATCTTTTATGTTATATATTATGCACTTGGTGGTGGGTTACATCATCCTGATTGTGATTTTTTGACCGATTACTAACTGATAGAAGTACTATAAGAAAAACGAATCAAAATCATATGGAAGTGCACGATTTTTGAAAAGTTACAATCCGTCATTTATTAAAGAAATTACTTTTCCCATATAATATTGCATGAAATCCTAGATATGTAGTTCAAGATGATGATATTTGACTTATTACAAATATAAAAATAATTGATCTTAATGAACATGAGATAAATGAAAAATGAATGATTAAGGATAATGAAATTGAAACAATTTATAAAATATAATTACATTTTAAAATTTTATTCTTCTTATTTTTATTAAATAAAAAAAGATGTATGTAGCTCTAAAATAGTTTTTTTTTTTAATTAGTCAATTGATTACGTTACCGTCATATGTAACTCGATTCTATTGCAAACCTCCCATACGTTTGCTTATCAGAAATTATGATATTACACACACGGTTCGGACATCTTTATTCTATGTCAAATCATCTGTTGTACGCCACACAATCTTTCTATAATAAAGTGTTTGAATAAAATAAAATGATATTTGGGAGGTTTGCTATTAAATCGAGTTACGAACATAGTAAATCGTATGATCCGTAACGTGATTTTAATAGCAAACCTCCCATTTGTTTGTCAACATACAAATGTACATGCGCATACATATTCGTTCAATGACAATTTATCATTTTATTATGAATTATCAAAGATTAAAAGTAATTTAATAGGTAGGCTGAGTTTTCTTCTGTGTTCTCTCTTTTGCTCTCTATTTTTTTTTTTCGTTCAAAGTATGCATAATACAGAAACCAGGATGTAACGTGTAGTGCCATAATACGAACTATTGACTCCTGAAATTGGAATAGCCGACACGCCAACAATTAGATATCAAACCATTTCGTTACGGGCCGGACTTATTCATCTCGTTTATTCCTCAAGATGAACATTCACTTTTTTAGAAAGATAATGGCGATATGATTGAAAATGTTTTGTTTTTGCGTACCTTTAATTAGACTGGTGTAACGGCATTTGCAGCGGGTAGGAAAACTGAAAAAATTTTTTTTGTTTACTTTCCAAATTAATTTCGATTGATAAATGATTTTTATTTATGGCACTACTAGTATGTTTATGAATTACCAATTCAAGAATTCTTTAGTCTATTTAAGTCTATGACAAGTTCGAAATTAGAAAGAATGAACGGATTTACCAAGGATTCCACTAATGAAAATTCGGTAAAGTACGTTTTGGTGTGACGTGTACATTTTTAGCACAAAGAAAGAAAATTCGTTTTTCGGAGTTCCAAGGTGACAATGAAAACGTAAAATTTGGTGTGATAGTCGAGTGGCTAGTGGGTGGCTAACCCTCCTTAACTTGTTTTTAAAAGGTCAATGATATCTAAGAATAGAACTCGTACATAACAACATCATATACAACAAAACCATTGGTGTAAACTTTATTCAGAATAAAGATGATAAACGTGGTTTAAACAATAACGAACAAGAAAAAATCCACGTTAATAAAATTATATTGTTGTTGTTCCATCCTATTTGTGTCATAAGGTCAATTTATTGGAGTTTCACTCGAAATTAGCGACAATGATAATGAAATGATGATAACAATCGATGGGAGAAGGGTTAATCATCCGGTGAAAACTTATCCCCCAATGGGACAAATCATTTAAACAAAAAGAAATTCTTTTCTTTATAAAGAAACTTTGATTGTTAGAATGGATCAATTGAGATTTACTTCGCGAATAAGGCATTTGATTCTTCCCCACATATATTCCAGTTGAATTTCACCTGCGTTTCCAAATAATTCCTTGTTTGGGAAGTTTCGCTATTTATTAGGCCCATCTAATAATAGTAAACACTCTTTTATTTAACTAAAGAGAGAATAATAAAAGTAAAACAAAGAGTATTATAAAACTTTGTACAACCAAAATTAATTACTTGCATATACAGAATGATATGATATGTTCGTGATTGAAGTTCGATCAAATTTTGTACTTCAATTCTCTTTATGGAACATCAACAATATAAATAATGTAATAATGTTAATGAGCCTTTTCGATCATTTTCTTAATTCATTCAATACTCCCATATGGCTTAGCCCCTTCAGCCACATACAAATTTTCCGTAAGAATAAAAATTCTTTCTCATTTTAAAAATTGATGCTCTAGGTTCATTAGGACACCGGAAAAAAAGTCATTTGACATTTGCTTTTGCCATTTTAAACAATGAACTAAATTTGTTTAGACAGGAACTTTAATAAATTCCAAGTTTAGATTGTTCATTTATTGTATCATAGGAGTAAACTCCGTTATATGTGTCGGAAATTTTACTCCTATATCGTACAAATAATATTATATAGCTATATTCGGAAATTTCCCTAAAACTCCGTAACTATCGCAAAACTTGTATAAAAGTGTCCGCAAATAATTTTTTTTTCCTCAAGTTTGTAATAAATATTTTTCAAAGAAATATATATATCTTTTAACTAATATAAAGATTCTTGGAAAATTTTCTTTTTTTTTAAAAAAAAAAACATGCCTCGAACTATGAAATCCAAATCTTATAATAAATGCTTTGAAAAAAGAAGAGAACATGGTTGCTCTAGAGTACATAGAATTAAATTAACAAAGGTGTTCTCTAATTCCAATTACGGAAGGATTAATAATAATTCTCACACAACAAATTGCAATTCTTGTGATGATTCTGATAATTGTATGGAATTACTTACTGAACGTTTGGCCAGGATCGAAACTTTAGTCAATAATCTATATAAATTAACTCAAGAAGGTCTACACAACTCAAAAAAGGTATTTTGCGACCATCAAACAATCTTATCGTAAAAATTTCTTAATTTAGAAGAAAATCGCTAAATTTTCTTTACATATTAGAATCAAAATCGAACGTTATGTAATATTGACTTGACTTCTTGTAAATTGGAGGATTTACAAAAACTTGTAAATTTCACCACAAATGCAATGTCTCCTCCATCGTCATCTCAGCCATCTCCTTCTCCTAAATCTATCCATCAAGAAAAAATTCATTCTGAAAATTATTCAAGGACAAAAAATTTTACAAAACGAGAAGAAATTTTAAAATATGATAGTCAAGATTCTGGTTACATAAGTGATGATGATGTTGATTTGAAACCATCATCACCGGTAACAAGTTCAAAAGGAAATATCGATACCTTAGAGGGTGAGAACTACATACATGCGATATAGACCCTTTGTTTCTTCAGGACATAATGGATTTGACAAACAAAATTTATACTCCTCATGATTTTTCTTAATACTTTAACATTTTGTGAATACGTTTCTCAATCAGGAGAATTCATTTTTAATCAAGCAACTAAACATACAGTATATCACAAAACAAAAAAATTATTTTATTTAATTAAATAAGCACAAACACACAAAGTGAAAAATATTACATTCGTTTTTTAATTAATTATTATCGTTATACCAAAAAAAAAAAAAAAAAAAGTAAAGAAAATTATTTGTAATTAATATGATCCCCACCTCTAATGACCTTTCTGTTTGCATAATATTTAAATATTCATCATTCTTAAAATTTCATTGTATTTATTCTATAAGCTTTTCTTACAATTAACATAAATTTCCTTTTTCACTTTTCTTTTGTTTTTTTTTTTTATTTCCGTTTTAACCAAATTTCTTTGTAATTCTTTTAAATTTTTCACATTTTTATCTTGTTAATATATCTTTTCTTGTTTTTCAATAAAATAAAATAAATAAAAAAAATAATTAATTAAATAAAAAAGTGAAACATCAAAATTTTAACGTATGATTACCGCAAACCATTTCTTTAAAAATCACTAGGGATGTTAAGCGGTCCTAAGCGGTCCTAAAAGTCCCAAGAAAATTACAAAGAATTATATTTACAAATTTATTATGAAACTTATCTATTATAATGTATTAATGAGCTACTAAATGAAAATATATAATAAACCCTCTTGGAATCCAAGAATTTCTTAAGATTTAAAATTTAAGGACTTAGGACCGGTCCCAAGTATCATTTTCGCTTTTTACAAATTAATTATAAAATTTTTAAGACATTTTTTTGATGAGGGTTACTTATTATAGATAAGTGATTAGACTTCTCTAGAGTTAGTAATCTCTTAAATTATAAGGACCGCTTAACATCATCAATCATACCTATGTCTCGTCCAGATTAGAAAACATTTGTCTCGTTCACGCTAATTCAATCGGCCTGCATTATGATCTAATTATGATTTAATTCCGGCCTACACTATCAAAATTATTTTATCACAATTGGTAAGATTGTGTCGCCATCTCACTATGGGAAGTCATTTTACGAGGAGATGTTATTCCGAATATCAAAGCTTTCATCTAATGAATTCGGTTTTTATTATCATTTACCTTTCTTTAAAAAGTTATTTCATAAAAAAAAAAAAAAAGAAACAAACAAAAAAATAACTGATTTTCAATTTATAACAAAAACTGTTTAATTCAGGCAATGCGTTTCACCAAAATACAATCAAAAAATAAAATTTTTTTCTATCCTCGGTCTTGAATTTCCGAATGTAATATGCAATATGTTAATCTTCAATCATTATAAAATACTTGTAAAGCGTTAAAATGTTCGAGATAATATCTTTATCGAATTTTAAGAGCTTCTTGGTTTTTTTTCCGTCAAGGGAACTTTTTTTTTTTCCAAGAAATTCAAAACGTTTATTGTTTCACGAAAAACTGATTACCGTGAATTTATGACAAACTTTTCTATCCTTTTCTTCTATTGTTTAATTAAATTCACAACAACCTTTTCTTTTCTTATTTTTTTTTTTTGATAAAGATGAGCGAATCTATTAATCGTATAATCTTAAATGTTGGTGGTTTCAAGGTAATGATAATGATGCATAATTAATCTTTTGACATTTATCGCAATATACAAATTGAGATTCACCTAATAAATCTTTTTGTTATGACAACATAGTATGAAACAACACGTAATACTCTTTTGTTGTTTCCAAAATCTTTACTTGGTATCATGTTCAAAGAAGAAAATTTACAAATGTGCAAATTTGAAAATGGAAATGAAGTTTTCTTTGATCGGAATGGACTAGCCTTTCATTATATACTAGAATTTTATCGTACAAAAAAACTTCTTTGGAGTGATCACTCACATTATATTACGAAAGAAGAAATCGAAACTGAAATTGACTTTTTTCAGTTACCAATTGAGGTACCATTACCTCCCCCTGTTGTCGAAAAGCCTGACTATCGTGTAGAAAGTTTGAATAAAATCATCGGCGTGTTTGAATCTCTTATTTCAACAGCAAAAGGAATTTATATTCATAAACTAGACATAACATTCCCTTGTTATGATAGAGATGGGTTTTTTATGGAACCAAGAATTAAAAAGCTAGTTGATATTGTACAGGAATTTTCTGATTCTGGATTTAATTTATTGCAAAAATATGGTGAGAATATTGGTAATCACCTTAAAGAAAATGATACCGAATTAAAATGGGAAATAAGTGTTAATGATGTGGGTTGGCATAATGCTAAATGTATCATTAATATTGAGATTGACGCTCAATATGACGAGTCTCTCATTATCGCCAATTCGATTCTTGGAAGGAAAAAACATTCTTCGTAAAAAAAAGAAAAAAAAAGACATTCATTCGTTGAATTAAGGGAAGTGCCCTCACTCTTTATATATATATTTTAACAATTTTTAATAACAATTTTGTAATTATCTCATTATTTATACCTATCCCACCTTATTAATTATGCATATATTTTTTATCGCTCTTATATTTTATATTTTATCTAAGAATTATCAAGATTATTTTCAAAATAAATATTCCATTTATTTTTTTTTATTTTTTATTATCATAGGCAACAAATACTGTACTGAGAAAATCACATGCTCAAAATAAATCCCATTTATATATCCAAGTATTATGTCGGAATCTGTAAAAGTTCGAAAAATTCATGAGAAAATATAATTCTTTTCTTTGTTATGTAAATTTTTTAATTTAACAACATTCAGCTGAAAAGACATTAATACAATATATTAGATGTCAAAAAAATGTAAATTATATTAGGTATATAAATATTTTCATTCTTTACCATTAAATTTTTTTTACGTCATACTTACCTTTATATATCACATTTTAAAGTTAGTAAAGTTTGTTAGATTAAAAATTAATTTATTGTAAATTCAATATAGTAATTATATCTACTATATATATGTAATTTGTTACATAAATTAAAATAATTTGCTTTTATAAATTATTAAAAATTCTTATTCTAGTAATTAGTAAAATAAAACTGTTATTATTTTTTTAAAATATGTAAGAAATTACAGTCAATTCTCCCTAAATGCATCCCCTTAAAATCATAGTGAAAATTTTAAAAATGTGCATTTAAAGAGAATGTTATCACCAGATTCATTTTCAGTTATCTTAATGTCTAAGTTGAAAGGCTGCAACAGTTAATTCTACACATTAGAGTTTCTAATCTTAGAATTATCTCTAAATCCTACAGGCATCCATTATACTTGAATCAACTTAGCAATTTATTATATTTTAGAATTTAAGATATATTAGTCAAACTCGTAATGACAAACTCAATAGCAAGTTAGTGTAAGATATCACAACAAATCCTAGATGAAAGGCAATGAAAGCAACTTACAAATGAGTTTGTAAACTTATAACTGAGTTAATTTACAACTTAAGTAAAAAGCTATTCTATTTATACAAAATGAATTTACTATAGCTAACTGTTTGCTACACTATAAACAAACTATTTTAGTAAATTTTGGCTAAAACAATAATAAAAGATAATGAAATAAAGATATAAAATAGAAAATAAAATACAATGATAATAAAAATAAAAGAAATAATAAATATGTAAAGAATTTAATAAAATAAGTCAATCAAATAAATTAGGTAAATCAGGTAAATTTTGTAAATCTTTCAAATTAAAAAAATCAGCCTGATTTTCTAATGCAATATATTGATCAAGATTTTCCTTAATATGATCTACATGAAATTAAATCTAATGACTTTTATAAATCATTTTTCTAAGGTAAATTTTCAATATTGACAATGTGTATTTAAAAGAAAAAAATCTCTATATAAATTCTATATGAGAAAATTGCTAGAAAAATAGAACTTTAGAAATTTTTTGACTAAAATTAAGATTTTATTACATTTTAATTTAATAATATCAAAAACTAAAATGCAATAAAAAACAAAATTTTGTTAAAAAATTTTCAGAACTCCATTTTTCTAGTAAATCTCTTATATGATTAGAATTAAATTAAAGTGAGTATTTAGAAAGAAAATATATAATATGTGTATTTAGAAAGGATGTATTTAGAAAGAGTTGACTGTATAATAAAAAATTTAATTATTATTATTAAATAATAAAAATATAAAATTAATTTTAATAATATAAATTTAAATATTATTCTTTAAATATATATATATATTATTTTATTTATTGAATTGAATTTTATTTTATTATTTATATTTAAAAATAATATTAAAATAATTCTTAAATATTTTATATAATGATTTATATTTATATTAAAAATATATATATATATTTTTTTTTCATTAAATAAATATAATATTTTTTTTCTTATTATTTAACTTATTCAAATATTTTATAAGCAAATTTGTTTATAAACTTAATAAAAATAGTAAAAATATTTTAATAAATATAAAATTTTAGTTTTAATAATATAATAATTATATAAAAAAAGTATATTTATTAATTTTATTAAAAATATTTAAATTCATTTTAAAAATTTATTATAATAATTTTTTAAAATCTTTTAAAATTATATATTTATAAACTAATTAAATTACTTTATTATTAATAAAAAATTTTTAATAATATTATAAAAAAACTTATTATTTATTATCAGCAGTAATTATCATTAGAGTCATTTTCAAATTTTCTTTTTAAAGTTTTATATAATTTGATTTGAATTTTATTAAAAATTAATATTATAAATTTTAGCTAAAATTAAGATGTAACAAATAATATATAACAAATATAGAGCTCTGAATAAATCAGTTTAAATTAAGTTAATCAAATTACCTGAACTGAGAGAATAAATATAAATCTGACCTAATTTAAATTTTTATTTGACCTGATTTAATCTGATTTAATCTAACTTAATTTGGTCAAATTATTTAAAAAATGATATATTATATTTGATTTGATTTAATTTCTAATTTATTATATTTTTTTATTTTATTTTTTCTCTATAAATAATTGTATATAAAATAGTATAAAAAATTTTAATTTAATAATTAATTACAATTTCATAATTAATATCACTAAAATTAATTTTTCAATTTTTTTTAAACTGTTATATTTTTTATTTTATTTTTTAAACTTAAATTCTTAAACTTATAAAAACTTTTATTAAATTTAATTTTTTTATTTTTGTAGATTTTAATTTTTATATATATTTAATATTTTCTTTTATAAACATTAATACAAAGATTTCATAATGAAAATTGTGTACTTTAATCAAAGTTAATTATTATTATCTCTAAATAAAAGTTATTTAGTAAGTTTAATATTATTTTATCTAATTTTTTATTAAAATTAGTTTAATATTCATGTAAAAATATATATTTTTGAAACTTTATTAACATTACAATATTTTTTAACTTTATAAGATAATTTAAGCATTTTAGTTAAAGATAATTACCTTTTATCTATAAGTGAAGTTATTTAGTAGGTTTAATATTAATTACATCTAAAATTAGTTTAATATTCATGTAGTAATATATGTTTTTATATTTTATTAACATTATAGTACTTTTTTTAATTTTATATAATAATTTGAGCATTTTAGTTAAAATTAATTACCTTTCATCTCTAAATAAAAGTTATTTAGTAGATTTGATAATATTTATATTTAATTTTTCATTAAGATTGATTTAATATTAATGTAGTAATATATATTTTTATAACTTTATTAATACTGTAATATTTTTTTTAACTTTACAAATTAATTTGATCACTTTAGTCAAAGTAAACTACTTATTGCATATTAAGTAAATATATTTTATAGATCTAAATCTATCTGTAAATAATTAAGATTATTTTAATATTTATTAAGTAATAATTATTTTTTATAACTGGATTAATTTTTGAATTTTTTTGTTTTTTTATAATTATAAATTAGCAATCCTTATTTAGTTATAATAACTAAGCTTTTATTATAGATTATACTGTAATAGTCATAGATTTAAATCTCAATTAAAGTATAAAACTAAATAATTTTCATAAGAATTTATTGTAACTGAACATATTATGTATAAACTAATATATATTAGTAACTGATTAATCAATTCATTAATCGATATTAATCATATCTAAATGCTGAATCTTATAGAATAAATGAATATAAATAAAGATAGAGATTAATAAAAACTTAACTTTTACTAATAAGATTATAATGAATACTATCTTACGTTTTTAGATTTCATTAATAAAAAATTAGTTAACTAATAATTAGTAGATTGAGTACTATTTTAGGTAGCTATAGTAATAATAAACTGTATTATACTATTATAGCACTATTTAATCAAACTATCATTTAGAGTAGAGGTTATATTTAATTTTTGAGTAAATTTTACAATATAAGTATGACAGCCACTTATTTTTTAAGTTCTATATATAGATGATTACATCTAAAGCTTTTTTAATTATATGTAAAATATTTGATATTAGGCAAAGGTTATAGTAATATTAATTAATATTAGTAAAAATAAAGAAAATAAATACAAGTATCTATAGCTGAAAGTGATCCTTTTATCTAAATTTAGTAGTGATTTTAAGAGCTAGTAGTCTTAAAGCTTAATATTTTAAAAGATTATCTAGATAGCATTTTAGGTTAATATTATAAGAGTAGGTTATAATTAGATCTTAAATATAGCCATTATTTAAAGTTTTATAATTAGTATTTAGGTTTATTCTTACATAAACAATCTTAAATAAATCTTAGCTATCTAATATTATAATTTTAAAAAAAAATTTTTTTATAATTTTATAAATAATAAATTTTAATATATTAGCTATATATGTAATTTGATTGATTAATCTATTAGATTAGATTTACCTAACTTGTAAAAAATAAATATTTTCTTATTTAATCATTAAATAATATTAAAAAATATTTAATATAAATAATAGTATAATAAATAATTATTAATTCATTTAATTAACTCTATTATTTTTAATTTAACAATAATAAATTATTTAAAAAGAATAATAGTTAACCTAAATTTTATCAATTTAGATTAGATTAAAGCAACCTATTAATCTGATTTAACATAAACCTAAAAATTCTAGATAAATATAATTTTATATACTTAAAAAAACTAAAATACATAGATAATAATTAGTAGAAAAGAGAATTTCTTAATTTAATAAATTTTTTTTATTAATCTACTTAATTGATTATCGTCATATACTCAAAATTAGCTTAAATATTAAAATTAGCAAAATTTTCAGATTTCATCTTTTTTACTTATATCTTTTAATATAATAAAAATAAAATTAGAAAGTGTAATATAAGTAATAAATTTTCATATAAGAAAATTGTGTGATACTAGTTATAAT